GGGGAGGAAGGGACGAGCCGAGCTCCAGCTCCAGCTCCGCGCCCCCTCCCCGCGCTCCCGGAGCGGTGCATTGTGGAGGGCGGCCGGCGGCGCTGGGAGCTGTCCAAGGTGCTGCCGCACCGCGAGTCCCTGCAGCTCACCCGCCCGCCCTGCTCCTCCCCGCGGCCGCCTCGGCGCCCCGCGCGCGGCCGGCAGCACCATGGTGTTCGCCCCAGGTAAGGCGCTCCCTCCCCTCGCCCCGCCTGGCTCTCGTCCTCCCCTTCCCCGGGGGCTCTGGGCTTTAGCTCCCCCCCAGAGGGCAGCTCGCCCTGTCTTTTTTTTCCCCCCCCAAAGAAGGGCAGCGGATTGACCCTGGGGATGTTTCAACTCCAAAGACGACACAGGTCACCTCTGGGACTGCACTTTCTGCGCTCAGAGTGTGGGAAGAGGGAGGGGAGGGGGGGATGCATCATAAAGGCGCCTAAGTGCTTTGGGCACCTGGCTCCCACTGTTCAAAGTGGCTTCGGTTGCCCAAGTTTTTGCCTGGTGGTGTGTACAGCCAGCCAGACGCTTGGGACATGCTTGAGTCTGGGAGCATTTCAAGGGGATGGCTAGATAGGAAATTCTCTCTGATCAAGCCTCACTAACACAAAACTAAGCCCTGATTGGCTGGACTGGCCCTGTAAGCTTAAGATGCAGAGAGTCGTGGATGCCCTGGTTCAATGCACTACTCTAGAAGTGGCCTTAGACTTAACCCATTTTGTGTGAGGAGGAAGAAGGATGGGCCACCTCGTAGCTTCAGGATATCATTTTGTATCGTATCCTATTGCACCGCATAGCATAGCATAGCATACCATAGCATATATCATATCATTCTTCTTCAATGTAAGTCTTTGTGAAAGGGAACTTTCCATTTCTCACCTCAAGCTTAAAGATACATAGCAAAAATGCCAGGTCAGCAAATGGGGACGTAAAAGAGGTACCTTGAGATTGTTCAGTTGTTCAAGTTTTTAGTTCCTAGTCTGGAGTTTATTTTGCCTTCTTCAGAAACCCTGTGGCCTGGTTAGTGAAAAGATTGGAGTTCAAGATGCTAAGGGATGTAATTCACTCATAAAATAATATTTTTGAGGGTGGAACTGGTTAACATTAAGTTGAAAGGCTGAGCGTTCTGAGAAATAAATACCCATTTTCAGCCATCCCAACATGTCTTGTATCTCAAGCTTCCCAGTTACTTGCTAATTAGATTCTTTCCTGCACAGATGGTCTTGGATTGTGAAGAAAACCAAGGAATCAAGTTGTTTATCTTCCTGAACCAGACTCTGTTTATTGCAGCACACCTTTCAGTATCACTGGCCCTCTTCTTAATTCCTTTTATCTGACAGTTCAGCTGTCTCTCACCATTAAGCATAGCCAGTTTTTTTTTAAAGTGTCTTAAGACTGGAGCACTGCTGAAAGAGATTACTACTAAAATTAGGAAAATAGCCGCTTTCTTTTTCCAAAGCATAGCAATAAAATGACAACAAATCTTCCATTAATAATTACTCTGCTACACAAAACATTTTTTCACTCTCCTAATCCATAATGAAAAAGAACTTGTTTTATGCAATCACTCTTTTTCAAACTACTATTACATAAAGGAGAGTCATTAATTTCCTGCTAATATTCTTTCATGGCCACTGGTGTCATATTGTAGATAGCATAGTGAATAGGGATTTATAGGAGGTTATAAATCAATCATGGAAACTTGACAGTGTCCTAAATGGAGAGAGAGCAAGCTTGAGTGGACTGCATTTTTAAGCAGTTTTTCTTCTCAGAAATCAGTCTTGGTATTATTCCTACTGTGGATACAAAAGAGCTGGAAATTATTTTGTAAATCTGTAGCTTTTTTAATACTAGCTATGCCACAAAATATGAATTCTATGTTTTTGCTAGGAGCTTCATTCTTCAATTCAAGCTTTCAGGTCTTATCTCATTGTGAAGTATTAGCTGGTATTCTATTTCATTTATTTGTCTTTCACAGTGAAACAAAAACCACTCTAAGTGGTTATGTGGTGATTCCCTTAGGCTTAACATAAAAAATGATAATCATTCAGTTGCCACTGGTTTCAGGAAAATATATATAATAGGTTTAAACACAGTACATCTTGTTTAGCTGAAGGCTCTAAATTTTTGCATATGAATAAAATGAGATGATGACTAAACTACTGCACAGCACTGACTTGACTTACCAGTGTGTTGTGGTTGTGGATCTTTTTTTCCTCCAAAAACTATTCATTGGAAGGAATTATTTCAGGTTGAAGTAGAACCTTTAAAATGTAGACTCAATTGACTATTCACTGAACAGTTATTTTCTGGAGAATTGCTATTGCCTATACATGTATTTACCATCTCTCTAGCTATTGCACTCTGCATGCCGCACTCCTACTAAAACACATTCGATTTATCATTAGACCCAATGAGGAACGACATTAAGTGTTTAAAAGGAAACGGGCCTGATCCATTACACCTCTGAAAAGTGGTTTAAATGTTAGCTTTCTGATATAGTCTTTTTTTACACCATTTTTAATTTACTTAAGACAGATGAGTAAAGAAAGGTAGTTAGCTGTGTTAATGTGAAGTTAGAGGGCAGGGCAGTGTGGCACTGGATAGGCTAACACATTAGAAAGGCATGAGCTTTCCTTGGCTACAGCCTACTTTGTCAGATGCTATGAATGGACTTTGTAAAGAGTGGAGGTACGAAATAGAAAGAAATAATGTCATTTAAATGCAAAGGATAGGGACATAGAGAGGAAAGAAGGGGCCACTTCTGAGTTAGGCAAAGCTGAGTTGAAGGGATCATCGTGGATAAACAAAGCAGGTAACTCATTGAGGGAAATAGGGGTTATGAAACTGGGTCCAGGTAACCCAATAAGAATCCATGACCTTTGTTGCGATGATACTTAACACCATCCAGTCTGTGGATGGTTTTTTTTGTTCAGCAGTTTCACATTCAAGATCATTTAAAAAGTTTTGTTGGTTAAGAACAGCTACTCTGGCGTCAGTTATAGAATGTCCAGGGAGGTTCAAGTGTTCTGTGATAGGCCTTTGTGTCTTTCTAGAACTGATGTCAAATCAGTATCCATTCATCTTGCAGGTGGGGATTATCCCAACTGTCCAATGTAGACAGCACTGTATAGGAATTATATAAGTAACAGTTATAACATATTTGACATTGGTAGAGGAGCAAGTGAATGACCCTAGATATTATAATCCATGTTGTTTAATGCAGTGACTGTATTTTGTGTTGATGAGGAGACACAGCTAGCATCTGGGTCCATTGCAAAGCTGGATGGCTTGGTGAGAATAGGAGTTAGGTAGTCTGTTACTGGAAAGAGTTGTATTTTCTATTTCCGGTTTCTCTTTAGTACCCCTGCTCTTAGTCAATTCATAGTATCTGAAAAAGCAGGCTGTAGCCTATGAAAGCTCATGCCTCTGAAAAAGTTAGTCTATAGGTTGCCACATTGCCCTGCCTTCTGCTTAAGACAGATATAAATGATGATATCAAGTGCCAGCAAGTGAAAGAGCAAGTCCAATAACAAAAGGACATGTTTTAAAATGACAGTTTCACGTTTGTTTTGGTTTTAATCTAAATTGAATCTAAGTTTAATTACGATTTACTACATTCCCTGATCTGCTGACCATTTAGATGCCATGAATTAGTGTACAGGAACTGTAAAGCCAGTTTACACAGAAAGTTCACATTGTAGCCACTTGACATCATACATGTGGTACAGCTGCTTTATGGCACTCCTATCATATTGGAAGATTTTCCTTTTTAAGAGGAATATATTTTCATGTTCTGGCTATTTCTCTGTCTTTAGGTAAATTGTGATGGTTGGAGAGGAGGAAAAAGCTTTTAGTCTCAGGCCAGGTCAAAAGGGAACGTTACATCATCACTATGCAAATAGCAGTTTTTCTTAGGAGCTATTGAAAAAAAATAATGAACTCTAGACTTCAAAAATCCATGCAAACACACAGCTGATCAACCAAGTCCATCATTATGGCAATTCCACAATGTAAAGTTCTGTTTGCAGGATAATGACTACAAAATTGTTAAAGCAGGTGCTTGTTTTGAAGCACCAGGCACAAATTATGAAAAGATAGTGATAATTTATATGCAGTGAGAAGACATGAACATAATTCATTCCACATTGAGGAATGCGTTTTGGAAAGTAATGTTCCTACTCCGCTACCTGTTGCTGTATAAAACTGTGGCTAGTTATTTCATTTTCAAAAAGAAACATTTAATCACATCCTTCAAATGTTCCTAACAAGCACATAACAAAAAGTACCCTACAGTACTGTTGAGAATTAGAGAATTACACTTTCTTTTAAAACTCCTATTTCAGTCGCTTTCACAAAAAAATTGCCTTTGAAGGTTTAGCCTTCCATGTTGATTCTTAATCCAATGGTAACTTTTTTCATGTGGAAAGGTTGAAGAAAAACAATCAGTCATGTTTAATTTATTAAAGCACCAAGGGGGGGGGAAGTGCCTTTCATGCTTTAAGGACACTTTCTGACAGTATTTTTTACTTGAATCACTCCAACCATTTGATTTTAAACCATCACTGTGCACGTATGTTATATAACATGTATATTCCTGCAAGAGAATTACTTCAGTTTCAGAAGTGAGTTTGAAAATAAAGTTACAATGCTATGAATTATATATAGATTACATATTTTTAGTGATAAAAATCTGTGCATACCAGAACAGATTTTATGAGAGAATTCTAGTAACTTCCAAGAATTCTGCTCTGATGTGTTCATAGGATCTAAGGTCAGATGAGACCATCATATCACCTAAGCTGACCTCCTGTATAATATAGCCATTGCATTTTATGCAGTTACCCCTGCAGTGAACCTAATACTTCTTTGATAGAAGCAGGATTTGTGTTTTGGCTAGAGCCTATTTTGCAAAAAGGCATTTAGTTTTGATTTTAAGACATCAAAAAGAATACACTACTTAGTAGCTTTTTCCAAAGGGTAACCATTCTCATAATTACATTTGTGTTTAATTTCTTACCTTGTATAACACTGTGCTCCCGGCATTGGTTATTATTCCTTTTTCCATTATATTAAGTCATTTATGTACTAGTGTTTTCTTCCTATTGTAGGCAAGTATAGAATGCAATATTGACCATGCAATCTTGAGAAAGAGAGAAGTAAGGTAGGGGTTAGCTAGATCTGGCAGTATTTT